TGAGTGGGGTGGGCGTGGGGAATGCAGTGATTGCTAAAGCACACAGCGTTTCCTTTGGGATGACACCACTAATGTGGTGATACTTGCACAACTCTGACAATCACAAAAAAATCACTGAGATGTGTACTTTCAATAGGTGACTTATATGGTATGGGAATCATATCTCAAAAAAGCTGTTTTAAAACAAAAACAAAAGAAGGAATTTCCATGTGACCTGATTCTCTCTGTGAAATCTCAAGTTCACATTTGCTGGGAGGAGATTGCTCTTTCCTGGTTCTGACAAGGCCAGAAGTTGGACATTTTAAACCACTATCCAAAATACAGCAGCACTTGCGTTGGCAGAGTTTGCTTAGAAGCCCCTAGAAGTCTCTCAGCAGTTAGAGGCGTGTGGGCCCTTTCCTTGGATATCAGGGCAGAGGCTCCTCAATGGCTGCAGCTTAAGGTCACATGTTGACATCCACTTCTGTTCTGAGCTGTTCTTTTCTGTCGATAATTACACACTGTTTCTGTGAGAAGATCATAAGCCATTCTGTGGAACCAAGAGGGACATTGCTGGTGGGAGGGCAGGTTCTCCTTCAAGGCTGGCTCGGGGCCAGTGGCAGCGGTGTGACCCTGCTTCCCCTTCCCCCTTGGGCGGAGGGCTGTGCAGACAATGACGTCTGTTCTCTCCTTTCTGGAAGCAACTGGAGGACCTGACCCACAGTCACCCGACCGCTACTCCTGGCATTGGGTCAGCTGCGTCTTTGATTTCCATTCGGAGTCTTGCCAGCTCCGTGCTCAGCTGTGGACACAAACTGCAGAGGCATTTCCTGTTCCAGGTGGTTTGGAGCAGAGAGCCAGCCAGGCAGCCACATGGGCTAAAGGTAGTGGGGAGAAATCCTTCAGCAACTACTGCTAGCAAATATGAGGGTAATCCAACGCCACGCTGGGTGGACTTCCAAAGCTCCTAGCCCTGAATGGAAACAAGGCCTTCTTGAATTGACTTTCACAACCAAAGAGCAATGGACCACCTGCATGCTCCCCCTTTGTTAACCTGCCAAGCCCTAGAGTATAATTTCTGAGAAGATGAGAAAGTTGAGAAGCTATCTTGAAAGGTTAGGCCAGTGAACTTGCTTTTCTGAAGTACACACGTTACGTAATAACACTGGATGGGTGTAACATGGGTCTCTAGTGGACAGTTTTCTCTACAAGTTTTGTCTCCATTGAAGCTCCACGAATGGCAGCAGACTAATATTTGGATTCCAAGTCTCTACTCAGCTACTAACGGCCAATGAGTGGATTCTGACCCATGTGGGCCCTAAGGGGAAGGTACAGCTTCCCCCTTTGAGTTTCTGAGATGCGAACTCTTTATGGGAGTGCAAAGCCTCACCTTTCTCTAAGTGGCTGGTAATTTCAAAATTCTGATCTGGAGGTTAGCACCCCAATGTGTAACCACTTGAGAAACCAAGTCTGTTACAGAATCCCTTAGAGTCTAGAACGGGGGTCCTCAAACTTTTTTAACAGGGGGCCAGTTCACTGTCTCTCAGACCCGTTGGAGGGCTGGACTGACTATAGTTAAAAAAAAAAACAACTATGAACAAATTTCTATGCACACTGCACATATCTTATTTTGAAGGAAAAAAACAAAACGGGGCAAAACACCCGGCGGGCCGGATAAATGTCCTTGGCGGGCCGCATGTGGCCCGTGGGCCGTAGTTTGAGGACGCCTGGTCTAGACATACTTCGCAAAGCACTAGGGGTCAGCTGCCAGCCATCTGTCACTTTGTCCTATTATGGTGGTTTGTGTGTGGTTGTGATGTTGGACTCCACCAGCAGGGTCACCCATGGGGAACTGGTTGTGGTGAAGCTTCCAGACTAACCCAGACTAGGAAGAAAGAGCTGGTGATCCACTTCTGAGAATGAGCCAATGAAAACCTTATGGATCACAAGAGAGTGCTACCCAATACTGTTTTACAAGGGTCCTCCACACTGTAAGACACTCAAGATACACTCAAGAGGCCACAACAAAGGTGGCATAGCCTGGCAACGTTTTCTCCTGTTGTAAGTGGGGTGACCAGGAGTTGGAGTAGACTGGTGGCAGCCAGGGGGAGAAAAATGTAGCAATCTGTGTCTCTGACCTTGTTGGAACCCCTAGAGGGGCATCCCCACTGTCCTGCACAGTCGCTAGGAGTTTGTGTCAATATTACCTGAATAGCATTGGGTAGCGATGGCAACTAACACTAAGTGAGACGAGAGATAGAGACTCAAACATAGCAGGGGCTCGATGATTGGGAGCGATCCGTTCTGATGTTAGTATGTGTACATGGTTTTCTGGCTCTAGGAGTACACAGTGACCATCATGAAAGCTTCTTCCCCTGGGCAGCATTGGCTCTACAGTGAGTTTCAACGAAAAGCTCATTTTCACTCTTGCTGACGAGTGATGTACAGGATTCTGATTTCTGTTACTATTTTGTTGCAGAAATTATCTTAGGCTGTCTCCTGGTGCGGAGCTCAATAGACTCGAAATCCTGAGAAGGTAGGATTGGAAGTCGAGGCATATCTATGCAGGCCTATCTGTTGGTGATGTTTGGAAGAACCAACAAATTTACCTTAGATTGAGCCAGGTTCTGAAATATTAGGATTGTGACTTTTGAATAAGGGGTCTAAGTCTCTCATGGAGGTCTTGCCAAGGTAGGGGAGAGCCAGTGTATCATTTGGAAGGTAACTGTTGGGTCTACCCGCTGTCTTTTATTTTCATAGTGTGACTTTTGTGTTGCTATCATGCTAAACGTTGTAGCACCAAATACCAGTAGGATTGCCCATGGTGGACACATGTCAGTAGAGCTTCCAGACAAGGAAAACTGCCCAGAGATCTGCTTCTGAAAATTAGTCAATGAAAACCTTATGGATCACAACAGAATATTGTCTGTTATAGTATTGTGAGGTGAACCCTAGATTGGAAGGCACTGAATGGCAGCCAAAACGGTGGTCTCCAGTATTATCAATAACTATGACGGTGGGCAGGACTCGACAATGTTTTGTGGTGCACGGTGCTGTCATCCATCAGAGTCAGCTGCAAGGCAATCACAACAACTTCTGGGTGTGACACGGGGTGATAGGACTTCTGACCCAAACACTGATGAAGTTGTCCTAATTTCCGTTGGTAGCAGGAGGGAAGGGAGAAAGCTCATTGAGAACTTAGTAAAAAGTTGTCACCCTGGAGAAGCTACCATATGCAGCACAAGGGCCATCTTTCTAAATGTGTTCTATTTGCAAAGTTGCCACTAGGATGCTCGGGTTGGGGGAGTGGCAGGCCAGGTGGAAAGAGAAGGCACGCTAGTCCACAGACCTAATGCACATCAATGTGATTGTCAATGAGAAAGTCTTTCCCTACGGTAGGGGTGCAAGCAGCAGTTTCCAGCCCCCAGGAGGCAAGGTGACCCAAAGGTGAAGAGGAAGATATGGTGGAAGTGGCCGAGTTGCACGGACACATACGGCAGGGCACTTGTGTAGTCAGTCCCTCTGTGAGGATTTGGAAATAAGAGGTCCAACCCCCAACACCTGCCTTCCCAGAGGCAAGAGGGAGAAGTTTAAGGTTCAGGGGTTCAACCAGCAGCTGTGGATTTTCATTCCCATCTCAGGTGTCCTGAATCAGACTCTCTGAGTTGTACATGGAAAGTCTCAGTAACTAGTGGAACGTGAATGAACTGGCTCTAAACCCAGGTACGGGGCTTGCCTTTGTTTCTGCTTTTAATTCTTAAACCAGATTGTGGTCTTCATGATGCACCTATCAGAGATTTCTTTTGTGTCTGTCTTGTTAATATGTGAATGGCTCAAGTACACACTTGGAGCCATTAGTGCCTCCTATAAACCCAGGAACATGGACAATGGATTTTTTATTTTCTGTGAGTGATAAAACTTGAAATGAAAGGGTTTCACGGGCAGCACCCATTTAGTGAAATCAATGTAATTCCCCAGGCACGCTGAGCTGATACTTAAGGCAGGGATGTGGAACCGGGGCTGACAAAAGAGCACAGGCTGTAGAAGGTTCTATCACAGTGAACTAGGAACACAGGTAGCCTCTGCTACCAAAAGGTTGCCCCGTGGCAGTGTTGGCTACGGCTGATCTACATAATAAACATATGTGTTCAGCACTCCAGCCACCTTGGCCCTTGAGTGTCAGGCTCAATTTTGCTGGGACTGAGGGGAGGCTGAGGCTGAGATGTGATTTTAGGAGACACTTAGATTTCTTTTACTCTCAACCTACTTACCAGTTGCCTCCCATATTCTCAGACATGGGGACCCATGTGTTTATCACAGTAGGATTATGCCCCAAAGGGAATCAAAGGTTGATTAAAAAAAAAAAGTTTGCCAGGCTTTCCTTCTGAGGTGCCTCCTTGAATCTCCAACCTTTAGATTAGCAGCTGAGTAAATTAATTGTTTGCACCACCTAAGGGCTCACTTCTGTGGCAAAAAAGAATTTACTTTTATTCTTCTCAAGTTTCAATGAGGGGACTGTAGAAGAGAACAGAGATTGGTCTGGAAGGGATGCTAATTCCTGCATAGGAAGACAGGTGTTCATGCCTAAACTCTATGTAGTTGGTCATAGGGATTTGGGAACACAGCTCTGAGTGAAAATCAGTTTTCACTTGTATTTCTGCTAGATGTAGGGTGGTTGTTCTTTTTCCAGCTAAGGAGGTGTCTCTAGAGCCACCGACGGGCCCATAAGACCTTCCTGCAAGATAGACAAAGGGACCCATGATGCTTAGAAAACAATCTACCCCAATTCCATATAATTCCCTTGGCTCTCTGTCAGCTTCCATCCCATCCAGGGAGGTCTCCACCTCCCACCCCCACCTGGGGGGTGCTAACACTCCAGCCAAATATATTAGTGTTGTTTGGTCAACTCCAAGTACTTCTGTCATTACAATTACAAATCTAAATATAAAACCAATGACCACTTGGAAGAACGATATTGAACCGAAATAGTGACTATCAAATTTAGCACTTAGAATTTATACCCAAAAAACTGTGGGCAGGTTTATCTTCAACCACGCGTATCCTCCGAGCCCCTGCAGGAATGACAGCAGCTTCAATATAGCCTGTAACAACAAATAACACCCAGATGAACCATACCTCCACTCTGGATCAGTACCTGCCGAAATCCACACACACACACCACCCCCAACTTCCCATGCCCTGTGCCTTCAGACACCATGGCTGGTGCAGCTCTAAGATCTTAAAGTCAGCTAGCAGGGAGTGCTCTTGTATAGGTAGAATCTCCCAGCTGCCTGACTCCCAGGGAGCCTTGCTGGCAGGGAATGCTATGGGAATGGCACTTCCTGGAACATGGATACAGTGTACTCTGGCCACATTCCTCTGTTAGAGGTTCCTTACTTAGCTCTATGTTGCACTTTGGACTTGCCTGAATAGTCATGGAATGATCACACAAACTAAGCAGCTTACCCTATTACTGAACATGGCCTCAACCCACTATGCCTCCCTTATTGTTTCCACTGCCCTTTGGAGCTTTCTGCAACTATCAGAGTATGCAATTCTGTCCATTTTCCTTGAGAATTTCCAAGTTCAGCACTCATGCTTTGATCTCCATGTGTCCAGAATAGCAGGTGGTTAATGTAGACTCCATGAGGCTGGGGCAGGGGAAGCGGGGAAGCCAGAGCCTCGCTAAGGCTTGGTTGACCAGGTAATGTTGTTGGACGATGGGCCCAGCAGTAGAGTGGGGTTCCGAGAGACACTTCCTTTACTTTCACTTGGGGTTTCAGACAGAAAATTTAGATGATGATCTCAAATCAGATGATGCATCCAGTCCATGTGGTTCCCAGATTAGCTCATCAGAACCAGCAATGAAATTTTTTAAAAACCTGAGGTTTCCAGAGATTATGGAAATCTCTATTTTGGGAAGTTGATTTATTTAGTCATTTTCCCACAATAAATGGCTTTATTTTTGTTACAAGAATAGCACATGATTATTATGAAAAGTAACTTAAAAAACACAAGAAGGAAAACCCATACCAATGGACCCAGACCACACTCAGAAAATTATCCCTACAGGTTTACATTTTGGTGACTCCTCTCCCTAGCACCTTTTCATGCACATGCATATGCACATATCACTGTATGCGAATGGGAATTGCATGTGATTTTAAAAAGTCCAGGACACTTGTAAGAAAGAGCTTTGCTAGATAATATGTGCCCAAGGTGGAAAATTAAAGTTATAAAAGGTGATCATAGAAAATACATCATTAATCTTATATAAGCTATAGCCTATAGTCAGCCTTGCTAAATAGTGGTTTTTTTCCTAATAGTTTGCATGTATTGGTAGGGTTTCTATGAAGCTAACTGTATCATTTGCCAATAAGGCAGTGCGGTTTCTTCCTTTCTAGTTTTTATACCAAAGAACCCTAGTGGCACTTTTGGATAAGACTGCTACCCAATAGGTCAGCAGTTCAAACCCACTAGCCATTCTTTAAAGAGTCTGTCTGCTCCAGTAAAGATTTACAGCCTCGGATGTGATGGCAGTGGGTTTTGGTAATCTTTACACTAGGGAACCCTGTGGTGCTATGGGTTCAGTGTTGGATTGATAACTGCAAGGTTGGCAGTTCAAACCCACCAGCTGCTTCTTGTGAGGAAGATGAGGCTGTATGCTCTTGTAAAGATTTACGGTATAAGTAATCCTAAGTTCTAGTCTGTCCTAAACATCAGTTGAAATTGACTCTGGCAGCAGGTTTAAATGTTTGTGGGGAAATGGAATTGAAAGATCATTGAGTTTTTCCACAAATACCAAGGAGTCTTCTCTTACTTTATGAAGTCCCTTCATAAAAATAATGTACATTTTACATAATAAAATTCACCAGGTAAATGTGAAATTTGATAACCGTGAGCTAATGTATGTCATAACGTAGGCACCGCAACCTCATGACCAACATTCTAACCCCACTGAAGCTCCCATAGACTGGTCTTGTTTCTGTCACAGGAGTAGGAGCAATACGACCATGGCTGCGCCGACTGCCAGTCAACTCCAACGGATGTTTGGAAGTGGGGTTTTCTCTCTGGGGTGTGTTCTAATCCTAATCAGTTCTGAATTTCAAATAGAGGAGATGAGACAGAAAAAAAATCCACTGGGGAAGAAAGATGACACGTGGGGATCTGTACCGGGCTAAGCCCAAGGGCACGGACAAGGAAGGCGACATGGCTGGGAGCAGCTTAGACTTTCAGCTCCAGGTGTGAGAAGGGAGTGTTTCTGTTACAGCACCACCAGGGGACCAAGAATGGTACTGAACCTGAGTAATTGGTCTTTAAATCTTCTGGCTTTGGACAAACCTTAATATTTGGTAGGACTAATCTTTTATCACTCTTTTTAATAATTTTCAGAGCTGCTCTTTTCAGTTTTTGTATGCAATGTAAATGTTGTCTAGTCTAGGTGGTGCAATTACTTAATCTGGTCCTTTCGGTCATAGTCCTGCATTTTGTAATGCATTGTAAATTCCAGACTTTACACCTGTGGGTACAGTGCCATTTTTGGAGTGAATTATCTAGTATGCTAATGATCAGATTAAAGCAGGGTACATTTTGAGTCCCACTTTACTAGACGATGTGACTGAAGTCACTACCCTTCGTTTCCTTGGGGGTGTCGCCTTTAGATTAGTTGTCATCTTTGCTAACTGTTTGAAAATAATAACTTCAGTGTGAAGTTGTTTCTTTAAATGAGAAATGCAGGAGGCTGGGGTGATGAAACTGGCTGAGACCAGAACTGGTTCCCCTAAGATGTGCAGAAGGAATCAGCATGTCCGTCACCTAGCCTTTCGATGTCAGAAGGCAAAAACCACACCTCCATCAAAGTTCCAGATGTGGGCAAGATGCTATCTTTGTGACCCAACTCTTCCCAACTAAGCACTGGCAGAAGCCTACTGCTGGGTTGCCTGATGAGGAACACAAGTTAGATGCCAGTTATTGCCCGGAAAACATGCAGGACTAAAGTAGCCACTGGACCTGTGCTGAGCACCTACGGTAAAGTTCACTCTCTTGTTCTGGATCGACCACCTGACCTACAATTCTTGGGACTTGAGCTGGCACGTGACCTGATTCACTGGCTTCCTTAGCCTTGTAAATCCAGTCTGATTTGGTGTGATTGAGGAGAATCCTCCACATAGAAGCCTTCAGTTTGCAGTTGGGTCTTGCCAGACTCCACAACCATTTAAGCAATTTCCTTGATGGCTCAATTTGAGTTCTGTAAGGTATCGCAGTGAGTTACAGAGCCCTGGGGCATGAGGGAAAAGATCGAGGGGAGGGATGGTAGTTGATATCAAGGATAATGGGTGATATTAGAGGTAATAGCTTTTAGAAAAAGTAGGACATTTGAGGCACCTTTAAGCACCACCTCATTGGGATCAGCTTTATAATACATCTTCTAAAACTCTTAAATTTTATTCATAGAACATTAAATATACGATTTCAGGGAGAATTGGCATCTTCACAATATAAACGTTTTATCTCTAAAGTAAAAGATACTGCTTCATTTTGTTCACATTTTCTTTCATGTTCCTCAAGGAGCTTGCGATATGGTTCCTGTAAAACTGTGGCTTATTGTACATTTTGTTTTTTTAATTTATAACTTCACATTGTCCTTTAAGAGTTCATTAATTTGTACAGATGCTGGTTTTTATAGATTCATTTTGAATCACTTTATTTAATTCTCTTATAATTTACAATAATTTTGAGATTAACACTCTGGTTTTTCATAGCATAATATATATGTATATGACAATGAATTATATAATAATATTTGCAATAATTTTACTCTTTTCAAATGTTTATAGTCTTAGCAAAAAATTTTTTTAATTGAATTGAAAAGTATCTCCAAAAAGTTTAATAGCCCTGAGGATGATACTCCTGCTCAGAGCAGCCAGTGTGCAAAGAGGACCATAGGTCCAGCCGCACTACAAGACCTGACATCCCTCACTGACCCATAGTGCTATGGGGGACAGCACTGGAGACACAGTGCGGGGACTGTGCCCGATCTGATCCACCACACCGAGGAAAAACACTAAAGGCAAGCATGAGAACAGCAAGGAGGGCAGAGCAACTAAGTCCACAGGGAATACCAAAAATAGACTTTGGGGTCAGGGCATGGCACCCCATCAGACTCGACTGGAAAACACTCCTAAAAGTCAACAAAGAGACCTTGAACTATTTATAGTCTTTTCTCTTTTTGTCGTTAGTTTTTTGTTGTTGTTATTTTGTTTTCTTTTGTTGCTTTGTTTTGCTCTGTCTTGTTTTTGTGCATATTATTATTTCTGCAGGTCTATCTCAATAAAATAGGTGGGATAAACAATCTGGAGGAGAAAACAATGGGACCAACAGTTATGGGAGGTCTTGGGAGAGGGGAAGGCGGGGGAAAGGAAGTGAGTGTTAATGAACCTAGGGACAAGGGAACAACTCGTGATCTAAAATCGATGGTGAGGAGGGTGTAGGAGGCCTGGTAGGGCTTGATGAAGGGAAATAGAACAGAGGAATTACTGAAACCCAAATGAAGGCTGAGCATGATAGTGGGACAACACAGGAAAGTAAAAGGAAATAGAGGAAAGAAGTAGGAGGCAAAGGACATTTATAGAGCTCTAAATACAAGCATGTACATATGTAAATATATTTATATATGATGGTAGGGAAATAGATCTATGTACATATATTTGTAGTGTAGTATTAAAGTAGCAGATGGACATTGGGCCTCCACTCAAGTACTCCCTCAGTGCAAGAACACTTTGTTCTGTTAAACTGGCATTCCATGATGCTCACCATCATCCTGACATGATCGCTGAAGACAAAGTGGGTACATAAGCAAATGTGGTGAAGAAAGCTGATAGTGCCCGGTTATTAAAAGACATAGCACCTGGGGTTTTAAAGGCTTGAAGATAAACAAGCGGTCATCTAGCTGAGAAGCAACAAAGTCCACATGGAAGAAGCACACCAGCCTGTATGATCACGAGGTGTCAACGGGACCAGGTATCAAAGAACAAAAAATCATATCATTGTTAATGAGGGGGAGTGCAGAGTGGGGACCCAAAGCCCACCTGTAGGCAAATGG